CCCCAAAACCCCAAAACCCCAAAACCCCAAAACCCCAGGTGCTGTTCTTTGCAAGTTGAGGAATAAATATTGATTTATAAAATAATAAAAGCAAACAATGGATATATCTCAAAATTAGCAATCCAACTAGATCAATAAAACTGATGAGGAAAGTGCTTAGAGTTTGGAACTTAAGGATATGATATAGGAGAACATTAAATAAATGGAAAAATTTGAATCTTCAGATTCAGAGGACTCAGAGGAGATTAAGGACGTATTTGATGAGAGGGGAGATGTCTATGAGAAAGTTTAGTTGCAGATTGAGAAGCACTATCAGCAAGAGGGCAAGGAAATCTCCTTCGATTATGCAAATAGCGACAGACGCATCACTTCTAAATCCAGATTTTTTATTAGTCATCTAAAGGCATCTGTAGTTCAAAATGAAACTCCAAAAGATCTCAAGGGATATCTCCAGAAAAAGAGTCCAAGTTTTTTTAGAGGATGGCAGGTATTAGATCATTAGCTCATTTTATTCAATTATATAGGACAGATATGTAACTCTGAAAGATCACAAGATGTGCTACTTCGAAAAGGAAGGAGATGTAGATCCAAAAGGAGTGATTAACTTTGATTTGGCCAAGGCAGATGTCAAGTTCATTGATAAAAAGACCTTTTAGTAAGCATTTGAGATTCTTACTTTTTTAATATCAAACTTTATAGGATCATAATTGAAGGAAGTGAGAGGTCGTTTATGTTTAGATCACACGAGGATGCTATTACTGAGGACTGGGTTAATGAAATTAAAAGACACATCTCAGTTGCAGGAAAGAGACCATCCACTTGCATATTAAATACCAAGAGCATGTTTTGGAGAGTAAGATTATCATGCATGAACTTATTTATAGTTTGATACAATTTCTGAGCAACAATTCATCAATCTTGCTGACACAGGTGATATCTTGCTATTCAGGTGCAAATAGCTTGGCAGCAAGATAACTAGAACATTCACTAATTCCCACTTTGACCATGTGGCAATGGTATTAAAGTTCGAAACTGACCCTGATGAGGTGTACTTTGTTGAGTCTACTTCTAACAGGGGAGTTTCGATATCTCGCTGGACTATGATCAGAAAATTTGTGGGTGATTTTTATGAGCAAGTTATTCTAAGGCACTTGGAGGTAGAAAGATCTGATGCCCTGATAGATAAACTTGAAATTTTCCTAAAAGAGGCAGTTGGAAATAAATATGGTATTTCTACTTCTAAGCTGCTGTTTTAAAGAAACACTGTTAAGCCTAAGAAAAATAAATATATAGATGACGATCGTACATTCTTTTGCAGTGAACTAGTAGCCAAGGCTTATAAAGTACTCGGCATCATGGAAGACGATGGAAGGCCTTCAAATTACTTTTACCCAGCTAGTTTTAGTAGTAAGAGCACGGCTTTAAACCTCACAGTGGGAGCACATTTAGGCCAAGAAATGAATATAGCCATTGATTCAGTGGTTACTTAATAAGACGAGCTCATGCTCTAAGGACCCAGAGGAGATCAGCATAGATAAACCTTGTGAGAGTCTGTAGCATATCATCAATAATTAGAATAAGTAAGCTAACATAATAATAAGTAAATAAGTAAGTAAGAGGAATCAATCTCAAGTATGTTATTCTTAATTTTAACCCAATTCATCTATTCTAAAAAGCTGGGGTTTTGGGGTTTTGGGGTTTTGGGG